GGCGGCGCTCGGCACGCCGCCGGCGCGGCACGCGCCCGCACGGCACATGGACGGCCGGCGCGCCACGCCCGGCACACGGACGGCCCGACACGCGGCCCGCACGGCACACGGCCGGTCGCGCGCCCCCCGCACACGGACGCCCGCACGTGCCCCGCACGGCACATGGACGGCCGCGCGCCCCGCCGGCACACGGACGGCCCGACACGTGCCCCCGCCACGCACATGGACGGCCCGACACGTGCCCGCACGGCACATGGACGGCCCGACACGCCGGCCCGCACGGCACATGGACGGCCCGACACGCGGCCCGCACGGCACATGGACGGCCCGCGCGCCCCGCCGGCACACGGACGGCCCGACACGTGCCCCGCACGGCACATGGACGGCCCGCGCGCCCGCCGGCACACGGACGGCCCGACACGCGGCCCGCACGGCACACGGACGGCCCGCGCGCCCGCCGGCACACGGACGGCCCGACACGTGCCCCGCACGGCACACGGACGGCCCGACACGTGCCCCGCACGGCACATGGACGGCCCGACACGTGCCCCGCCACGGCACATGGACGGCCCGACACGCGGCCCGCGCACGGCACATGGACGGCCCGCGGCCCCGCCGGCACACGGACGGCCCGACACGTGCCCGCACGGCACATGGACGGCCCGCGCGCCCCGCCGGCACACGGACGGCCGGACACGCGCCCGCCGGCACACGGACGGCCCGCGCGCCCGCGGCACGGACGGCCGACACGCGCCCGCACGCGCACACGGACGGCCCGACACGTGCCTCGCACGGCACATGGACGGCCCGCGCGCCCCGCCGGCGCACGGACGGTCCGACACGTGCCCGCACGGCACAGACGGCCCGCGCGCCCCGCCGCACACGGACGGCCCGACACGCGGCCCGCACGGCACACGGACGGCCCGCGCGCCCCGCCGGCACACGGACGGCCCGACACGTGCCCAGCACGGCACACAGACGGCCCGCGCGCCCCGCCGGCACACGGACGGCCCGACACGCGGCCCGCACGGCACACGGACGGCCCGCGCGCCCCGCCCGCACACGGCGGCCCGACACGTGCCTCGCACGGCACATGGACAGCCCGCGCGCCCCGCCGGCACACGGACGGTCCGACACGCGGCCCGCACGGCACACAGACGGCCCGCGCGCCCGCCCCGCACACGGACAGCCAGCGCGCCCCGCCGGCCCGATCGCCGGGAGCGCGCGCCGGTCGGCTCAGGGAAGCAAACGGCGAGAGAGGCCGTTCAAGAGCACTGCCGCGCGCCGTGTCGGAGGGAGATTTGCAGTGCGCGGAACGGAAATACATAGTGATATGGTAACGGTTGAAGCACTTACAGGACAGCAATACATACTGCAGGAAGACGTTTCGCGCTCAGTGTGCTTCTTTGCAGTGGTAAATAACAGCACATCACTCGATAGAAATGTGAGGGCTGCACCTTGAGTAAGCCAGTTATATTATGAGAGCTTGTGGGGATACAAACATACGGTTAAGTCAGCTTGACGAAGACAATTTCAACAACAGATCGACCAGAGCTATCCGAAAACTGAAGGTCGCTATGGGTGACTTATTTTTGATAAATGTGTGAAGAGAAAAACACCCCTATCAGCAAAGATGTGCCTAGTAACTGATGAACCTGTTTCAGTAGCATACTCAGTGACGTATCGATATTGCACGATTGAATTTCCTATGCATTGCAGTTAGCATGTTCAAGGAGGTGTTCCACATTTCCATGAGGTTTTAAACTGAAATAAATATGATGATCACTCGGCACATTTCACAGCCCTGCCATTCTTAAAGCATGGCGCCCTGTAGTTGCTGGGGTGCAAGCCCCGCTAAAGTGTGCAGACTATTTCGTGCAGGTCATTTCAAAGTTACACAAAGATCCGTGAATGTTAACGGGCTCTCAACAACTGTGGTGCAAGCTATACGAGATCATAGCTCAGATTACGTTTTGTCATACGTAATACAAGTTCAATGCTTTCCTAGTTATTTTGGAAATAAGACTTGTGGTCGAATAATATGACCAAAGCGCCGTAACAGGGCATGCAACCAGAAGTAAAAAGCTTAAATCCAAGAATAAATACACAAGAACACTACAATAAAGGGCCACAGCACAAGCACATAACAATATTTTGTTCAGCGAGCACTTTCAGCCTGTGCTGCTATCTATCGCAAGATTGAAGAACTGCAAGTTGGTGCTGCCATACAAACGTTCCATGACGCCATCAAACAATGAGGTGTGGAGGGGCATATTTGCTCCATAAACCATTATGCCAACAACAGCCTCTCCCAGTTAAAATTATATAGATAGTTATAAGTGAACTTATGTCATCCTACATGCCGCTTGGTTCAACATTCTCAAAGGTGGAACATTCATTACTTTTGAACGTCTTTAGTCTTGTTTGTGCGGAAGTGATATGGCATGACAATAGGGCGGACCAGGTATTTAGGGATATAATGATACGCTGCATGATAACGGAGAATATGTCAACCAGGCGCGATCCGAAATCAACGCCGCGATCACCGGAGTAGATGAAAACATCGGTGAGATGCCCAAGGACGTTAGGGTTGAATTCACATCGAGAAAAATCAGTGCACTGGGCTTCAGACTTACATCGCTTACATGCTTAACAAATACTCCCTGAACGAGTACGAGCGAGCAAGAAAAAAACTGGAAGAGCTCAAAGCAAATCGTGGAAAGTAGCTATGATACACTCGAAGAGTACTTGGATGAAAGAATGTAAAAAGCCCACAAAATGTTTCTTTAAGAACACTCAACGTAAGAAGGCCTAGACAATGATTAACCGAGTTACAGAAAAGACGGAAACATTATAAGTGGAAACAAAACAATACCGAGTGAATGTGCTGTGCGCATGCAGTTCTCTAGTTCTTACATTACAATACATTTATCTTCGCATCATTCATCTCAAACATATATTCAGTCATCAATGCATATCAATCTTATTCTACTTTTTGGTTAAGTGATAATTCAGTATGCATTATCTGTCTATCAATGGAATTAACCACCAAAAGTGTTTGCATGCATCTGTAAATCCCTTTTGATATCACAACCAGTAAGCGTGGCGACATGCACGACATTCCCTCTCTCCACACAAAAGCAGATGCAGAGCCAACTCGTGACATTTCTGTCAACAGGCAGGCATCCAAAGATTGCTAAATACATGCTATGTCAGATCATTAAAGGCGGTGGCTTCAATAAACCAGAAGTGAATACGATTAATGCCAGTTTACAGATAGCCTGGTCAACAAGGATGCACAACTGCTCAGCATCATCTTGGCGTCTGTTAATAGAAGCGAGAGTGGGTGAATTCAAGTTAACGCCTTTACTAATCATTGATGGTAGTATAGTTTCATCAATACTCCAAACGCATCGGATTTCTACACACTATCGCGGTATACACTACACACTATCAATTCCCAAATACTATTTCCACCCCAGTCAATGGCGCGAGGAGTGCGACTACAGAAGTTGTGGCGTTATGACAGGCTGAAGATTGGGCGAAATTTAATATTTATGAAGCCACTTTGCAGGACAGAAATCTCGTTGATCACGGGTCCGGATAGGGATCTGAAATGATCATAGATCAGGGCAGCGATCTCAAAAGATCCCTCCAGAAGACAAGATAACAATAATAAACACTGGGGCTTTATAGGCGGGATGGGCTCAATGAATTAACACTAGATGCATAGTTGCATTTGTAAGCTAGACTTCAATTACGAGCGCAGAAGCGCGAGGCCGATACCGAATACATGTGTTACAAAAAGGAAGGATATCTTCAATGTCGGACAATTTCAACAGCTTACCTCATACGGTTCTTCTCGTACACCGCAGTGCTCCAGCTCTTGTTGTCTTAATAATCTCGTTTACATAACAACACATCATGTCCAGCAAACATGGGAATGCATATCGTGAGACAACAACTTGGAGGCAGTAAAGAAATTTTGTTTACTGTGCATTTGTTTGTTTATTTAAGGCGCAAGCAATTACAGGAAAATCCCAATTGCGGAAGCAGAACAGCTTTAAAAACAAGTAGTATTAACATACCACCAAACAGGAGATGCCGTTTCCACGACACCGGCAAGGGGACTGTAACCGGCTGCACGTTCGAAAAGAATTAAGTTTATGGCGAGTGCGAATGGGACGTTAACCCTGCAGAACGCGTGGTCACGTGACAGGACATCTCCCGGCGTGTGACGTAAGCGCACAACGAGAGGCGAACAGTACGTTAGAAAGTGTTTCGGGAGGGGGGGGGGGGGGGGGGGCGGGCACAAACAAGTGATGTTGCAGTGCCTATAAAATGAATGAAGCCAGATATGTTATCTGCTTCTTTGTTTCAACATTGATGGCCGGAATGGGTAAAGCATGATGGAAAGAAGTGTGCTTCAAAATCACGGACCATGTACACGCATATCAACTGCAAAGCTACTGCGTACATGCTAAAAAACGGAGCAATGGAACATGACAGAAAGAGAGGTCAGCAATGTTTGGCGATGGTGATTGGGTTGGGTTGGGGTGGGGTGGGGTTGGGGGAGGGGGCATTGACGCAATAAGTCTATCCGTTATGCGGACAGCCTGTTTGTGCTCGAGGCACACCCATCTTGATTGTCCGCAGAAATGATGGGTCTCCACCAATGCCACCAATGTTTGGCAATGGCCGACATCGTCACGAATCGACGCCAGGCTCTGCCAGGTCCACTGTCCAGACAGGCGCTTGGTCAATGAGGGGCGCTCCCCTGAGTCCGAGTGGGTGTGACGACACCAATGCACCCCTTAAGCGGCGGGCACGCTTTTTATCGACGCTAACACGTCACCGTCACATACAATGAGCACACGTAGTATGAACGCTGAAAACTGAAGCACCAGACATTGCGCCGTGCCTTTCATCACATCACTCCCGACAGTCACATAGCAAACATTGCAACAATACCGTTGACTACATTTTGACAACTGATCTGACTTCTGGATCCCAGGCGTGCTCAAAGATGCCAAGAACAGCACGTTCACATTGTTGAAGACCTAGGCATCAATCAATCCATTACAACCGTATGCCCCGTCCCAAAAAGGCGAAGTGATCTTGTGGCCATGAAGCGAGGTGATCTTAAAAGTGGTCTTGATATCAACCTGATTGCTCCTGGCGTGCCAAAGTTCCATAAACGTAAGAGAGCAGAACTATGCTAAAACATGCTTGCACAACGGCATGAGAAGGTCGCGATTAAAAACAATATTCGCAAAATTTCAACTGTAAGAAATTCAGTGAGGCATAGAAAGTATCCAACAATTCACGCCCAAATCAAACTTAATAATGAATGACCAAACGGGGTTTATGTAATTCCGAAAACACCTATTTTGAGAGGACTTTAGGCCTTACATCACAATTCGTCACACTCTATAATTTACATGCAGCGGATGACATCTTTACCCCGAATGCGCTGGGCAGCTCGTGGAGCGCTGAGCTGTCACAGACAGCAAAGCTCTAAGTCCACGCTAATAAACAAAGGAACATATCAGCCCTTGTATTATCTTCCAATGGAGATCTAAATTATGCTCGCCTAACTTCTTCCCACCTCGTCGTCGGGTTTTCTGCCAGCATATGACGCGCAAAGACCTACGACCCATCAAGAGCTGCTTCACGTTCCCGGATGTCGCCGCCGGTCGATGCCGGGAACTCGTGCCGGCTTGAGACCCGTCGCAACAGCGAGCCCTCCCGTCATATCCTCCGGGACCGGTCTGTTGTCACTGCACCGCTGCCAGTGCTCGAACCCCGTCCAGGAATGTCCCAGCCATCCATCTCAAACTTCTGTATCCAGACCAGCATGGCAACCAGACAAAAACGTGTTCATGATGCAATGCAATCCACATCAAGCAGCTTCACCGGTGTTTGGATCTGTCATAGCGATGGTAAAGCTGCGCTCGTTTGTACACGATTCCGTTCTTTTTTCGTAGCAACGCTAATTTCAAACCCATGGTCCAGCTAGGAAACGAACCAGCTACGACCATCTCCTCCGCATATCTAAAAACCTGATCTGTCCGCATCTCTAAAACATTCCATTCATTTCGGCGGCGTGTTTTCACAAACCGACCTGCACGAAACATGAATATCGAACACCTTGTGCAGCAGCCTTCATACGTGTGGACGGCCTCGAGCATTAGTAGTGATCATTTGCCTGGATGTGGCGCAATACATGGGTACTCTCGTCGGGGGTTTGAGACGCACTCAGCTACTGGGCTATAAGGTGTCGCCCGCCCCTTACCTCGAAGGGATGGGCGACCACCGCGCGGTGCCCCAGTTGTACAGGTGCATTTGGAACACGCAAGTGCGTCTGTCTTACCGCCGTGTTAGTCTACGATGACTGGGACTTGGCATGCGTGACTTGCAAGTGTACCTCAACATGGCGACTTCTAAAGATGTAAAACTGCCATCGCAGTACAGGGAGCCCATGCGTCCACCGTACCGACGGCACCAAGGCTCCTGAACCGGAAGACCCAGGACGTTGCTAGCACCAAACAATGCTGGCCTACGTTCAATGCATTACAAGCTGACACCCGTTCCGCATCAGTCGCAGCAAGAGACGTGCCCGGGACAAGTAATCCATACAGCCACGCTGGTGCCAACGCGGTACCATCCACCAGCACCAGTTCAACAGAAAACTTCGCACATCTTGTCATGTCATCTTCACACTGGCGGGCTGCGCATTCGCATCCGAACAAGACGTCCTCCACGTGGCCCTAGAGACGTACCTGTATATGATGCCCTGCAGATGGAGATGTTCGAGCGCCAGGATGATCTCCGACAGGTAGAAGCTGGCTGTGTCCTCCATGAAGATGCCCTCACGCTCTAGGTGCATGAACAGCTCGCCGCCGGACAGGTACTCCAGGATCAGGTACAGCTTGCCGCCCGTTTGGAACGCGTACATCAGGTCCACGATGAACGGGTGCTGGAACAGGCGGGCCACGACATCAGGACCAGCGCCGAGTCACAGGTCACGTGCCGGCGCATCTCGTGGCGGGCGGAGGCGGGCGGGAGCGGCCGCGGCCGGCGACCGCCGCACCGCCGCCACGTCGTGTCGTCGCGCCGCCTTTTTGCCCACGATGTGCTAGTTGAAGGCGGTTCATAGCTCTGCTGGCGGTTATCTGTAGACGGTCGGCGTGTTTGAGCCGATGTCACTGGAAGGCTCAAAAAAAAAGATAAGCAAACGGTAGAAGATAGATAGTATTGTAGCGACGACCGTAAAACGACGAACACATGCACACAATATGTTTTTTTCCAAGAGTGGCCTGGCTTGTTTCATTAATCCGCAGTTCTTCCGGAAACTTACCAAGGATTGTCTTCGCGCTAACCCGGCTGTAATTGCCCCTCCAGTACGACATATTTTCTGGACCGACCAATATCCACCACATTGCTTAAAGGAGCACGCCATTACCAAAAAAAAAAATGCTGATTTTTAGTTTCACGTCGAGTTTCACGTCACACGAACAAAATGACTTGAAAGTAAACGGTCACGACCGATTGCTAGTACAAGCCATACCATTTGGCCCATCAAATATCATGCGTCGGTTGTGAGATGCCGCAAGCCTATAGCGAGATGCTAAGCTCTCCTTCCGAGGCGAGCAAATATCAAGGGCAACGCGTTACTCAACAGATGCTGTCATCCACCGGCACGCAACACCAGCCGGTGATCACCGAGACGGAATGCAGCCAGACCACTATCTGTTTACATCTTGAGCGGTTCACGGCCGCGACGGGGCGGTGATAGCCCGGGGTCGGCGGGCGGCACGCTCGGGCCGCTGCACCTGGTCTGGGCCCGGCTGGGGGTCACGCGGCCGGTCCGCTCCGATACCGGTATCAGCTGGGGGCTGGACTGAAGTGGAGGTCAGCTGGCGTCGGACTGACTCAGACTGACTGCGATTAACCCCAGGCGCTCACACCGATGCGCAGACCCGCTGACGCTCGGGAAGACGCGGTTCAAATGGGCCCAAACTGACACTCAGGTTGACCCGAGATTCTTGACGGCATCGGCTTTGGCTGGTGCATGATAGCAGCAGGTGGTGACGGGACGGACTAAGCGTCGGGTCGGCCTTGGCTGACACGGCCAGCAGCTGCGGGCCTGCCAACGCCGCGTGATGGTCGGCTGAACGAGTGCTCTGAAGACAATACTTTGGGTGCAAAATGACGTGTCACACGTCAATTATATGTCGACATATGTATGTCACGCACGTTACTGAATCGACGCACTAGTGATGCAACACGCGAGCGATGCCTGAATGTTCCTTTACGCAAGTGGTTAATGGACCGATTCCAGCACGCACAGGTTTCTGGAGATGAACACGAGCAAGTTGTACGCATAACGGCATCAAAACTGAGGATTATCAAGAATAATTAACTTGCCAATAAGTTAACCACAAGAAAACAGACCGACCTGCCGCAACTGAACCTTTTTGCCAAGTGCAGAACCCGGTAATTACTTTCTCTCGAACCATTTTTGTCTGGTATAACGTAAGACCAGAGAGCTAACTTTCAAATTATGCTTTGGTCTTATCAAACTATATAACATATATTCTGGGGACCTCGTACTATTCAACCACTCACAGCTTGTTTCATTTGCACTCAATTTCAACGCAATGAACTCCACAAATGTATTCAATTCAACACAAAAATTTGTCTGCCTATGTTAGTTCTTAAAGAATACTTTGGCACTTATTTGATATAATCCAACGCTAGATTTGTCTCCGAGAATATTGCAAATATATCAAGCACGTCCTGCTCCAACCAAACGGAGTTGCGCACTTGGCCAAAAGGTGAAATCACGGTGTTCATAGAAGCCTTTCATCGACTCGAGCGAACCCAACGTAGGTTTTTTCCGAAGACACACTTCGGGATGTTCCGCTATGCATTGCCAAAACATCACCTGGCTCGTCGTGTTCTGTCACAAGTGGCACAACGAACAGGACAATCCCAGGCGGCGCGGATTCGGAGTCGGCACGGCGGCACGACACAGACGGTGGACGGGGGGGGGGGGACAGCTACGCCCAGGGCGGCCGGATGGGAGCTATGGCGCTGTGACGACGCGCCGCGTGCCCACTCGGCCGGCGTTCGCGGGCTACTGTCCCCACCGGGCGCGCATAACACGCGGTCGGTCACACTGACAAGCCACAGGAGACGAAACCGAGTAAACGCTAACTAGGAGAATCAGCTTGGAAACCGAGTCATAAATTGTCCGTCCAGGCGCTTCCATAAGACACACAAACTTAACTGGTAGCCAACACAAACGTCCTCCTTATCAATAAATGAAGCTCACACCAGGACAACAAACAACACGGAGAAATCCAACGCAAATACTACGCATGCGGCTGACGCTGATACAGCTCCAGTAACGGCGCGACACTAATGCAGATCACGGTGACCAACGCACACCCAATGCTGGTTGCAGGGCCAGCACGGAGGCGCCGCTATCGGGGCCCGGCGGCTCCGCGTGTGGCAGCATTCCGTCGGTGAGCGCGCGCTGCTGGTGCGCGGTCACGGCCCACCGCGCCCGCCCACCCCAGCGCCCACCAGCGCTGAGTGCGGGACACGACGCTGACCCGAGCGCTTCTCAGGAGCGCCTCCCCACTGGCCCCACCCCCATCATCCCTCATGGGCAGCTACTGCAGTCGGGGAAGGGGGGGGGGGAGGGGGCAGGGAAGGAAGTCACACGTCTCGTGAGGTTTTTAAAATGGCCGCTCCGCCCTCTCTCAAGGCAACGTGACTTCCATTCGCAATTTAAAGGGAGCGTTCCACATTTGTATGGGGTTTTGAACTGAAAAAGCTTTCTTGAAGATAATTCGGTGTACTTCACAGCCATGTTATGTCCTTCTTAAGACTTAAACCGTTCCTGATTCTGAGCTATATGCCCGCGAGGATGTGCACACTATTTCGGGGTGACTATTTCAAGGTCGCCCAGACATCCATGACACCATAATAATGACATTCAAATCCTGCCATTCCGTTCGCCACGCGGCGATTGAGGCAAACCGGCCTTTAACTTTTTTAAAAATGTCGAGTCGTTCATATCTGGCACGATTTCCAGATACAACTGCCGTCAATTGGCTCTCAATCAATGTTGTGCAGGGCACGATAACGTAACCAAACGATGACGTACTGAGAAGCATATTCACTAAACAGAATGTATGTTGTTTAGAGCGCCCCTTTGGAATTAAATTAATACCAATAGCTATAAGCGAGCACATTTTATATCTGATGCTCGCTTGAATATCTTCAAATGTGGAACATTCTCTTTCAACTATTGGCAACTAAATTAACTCGATAACAGTATTTTTAAGGGAAGCAGACTGATCCACATTTTTGCCTTGAAGGACATAAGCATATCAAACGGCGCCCTCAACACTACTTGGCTAACCCTCATTACAGGAACTGTTCCAGATTTGTGTGGGGTTCTGCACTAATAAAAGTATTTTCAACATTATCATTCCCAGCAGTCCACGGTCAAGCCTTTGGTAAGACTTCAAATGTTCGTGTTTCAGACCTAAGCGCATGCGACCTTGTGCAGACTATTTCACGTCGCCTAATTAAGGTCACTCAAGAGATTTGTGACGTCAGAGAAACATCGCACGAATTCCACCCCTTCGATGACCACGTTGTGACCAAGGTGAAAAAATAAATATGACCAACGGCTTATTCGTGTATGAAGAACGTCAGCACGAACTGATGTATCAACGGGCACCAGCTGGTTTAATACCAGTCACATTACATTCAAGTCTCTGCGTCTCGATCCCGAACAGCGTTTTGTGATGAATAATACAGGCATTTGTGCAGCTCCACTCGTTATGGCGTACATGAGGCTATAGAGTTTAGCGCAGTGACTCCTTTCGAAGCGCACTTGTGCTTTGGGAAACGGACGTATGTCATGGTCTATACCAGGGACACAGCGAGGAGAGGTGCTGGGGGGGCCTCAGGTATGGATTTTTCCATTATGGAGGGCTCCCGACAGGAAGTTCACAATTGGGATGGTGCGTGCTCATTGAGCTCAGGGCCCTTCCCATAACAAAATCTCGGTTACGTCACTGGCCTATAGTGAAGCGCTAATTCAAACTTCAACCAATACCCTTTTCGGTAAGTGGCTTTCGCCGCCCGCCGTGCCAAGGCTCATTTGTCTCACGTCATTCACACTAGTAGAGGTGCCACTTTAAGCCCGCAGGCCAGCAATGTACGGACGGCTCAAAAGTAGTTACTTTAGTCCGTAACAGCTGGCGGTCCGCAACTGACTGTCGTTGTCAGTTGTCGCGGACTAGGGCTAAAATGACAGAATTGCACCGCTGTGGCAAAACGTCTACAGCGTAATTTGGACTCTAAATTTTACAAACCACATCACGTTTCTATCTGTGACATTACTGTCATAGAGTCATTTCCCCAGCAAACTAAAGCGTTCCCCGGAATGAATCCACTACTTACCTTGACCGCTTCCAGTATATTCCGTTCCGCTTTAGTGTGTGCCGTGTCCTTTTGATTTCGAACAATAGTCGCCTTCTTCAACACCTTCATGGCGAAAACTTTCCCGACATACTTGCCAGACGTCTTCTTCACTTGAAACACTTTTCCGTAGCCACCCTTGCCGAGGACTTTACGTAGCTCGAAGTCCTTGGGGCCGACACGCTCCTTGCCGATGTTCACCGTGCTCTCGTTCAGGGCCAGCCTCTCCACACCCTCTTGGCTGTAACAACCCACATTCCAGTTATCCTAGATGTCGGGACGGAGGGATGGACCGCACGGGGTGGTTGTACTTGCTGATATCTAAGGGTATAGTGTATTAACGTAACGTGTAGTGTAGTGAAGTGTAGTGAAAGTAACGAGACAATAACAACGACCATCACTAAAAATTCCAAAGTCAAGTTGTCCATAGCAGAGGTTACAAAAAAGAGCGTTTCTGGTCGTTAACAGGCTCACAACGCTCGTACAACGATATTTTGGACAAAACAACTTGCCTAGCATAATAACTAACGTGCGTTGCGTCAAAATGAGAAAAATCCCTTTTCTAGACAACCCCAACACCAAATTCGGAGCGACCCCCTACACGCATAATCCAGCCCTCATCGTGCTTTCCGGGCAGTAACAAAGACGAACAGGATGTGTGCATTGGCACGCTTGAGAGGAGCCTCCGCATCAATGAGTGCGGACCCGGCGGCGCATGTCCTAGGGTACAACCACTTACTTCAAGATGGCATTCACATCCGGCTGATGGTCAAACTCCTGAAAGGGCAGACTCTTAAGACACGTGTTACACAAGCCTGGAAACATGGTCTTTTGATTTGACAAGAGTTCAACACATGCGGCATTTCAAAAAGAAGGTGGGCACATTGCTTATTACCATGCCTACTAAAAGTGCAGAAAATCGCAGAAAATCAGATGAGGATCGTCAAAAGCAGGAAGTGAAAAACACTTGGCAAATATTTCAAGTTGAAACGTCGAGCATGTCCAACATATTCAGACGGTAGTACGGTTTTATACCCGCTCCAACGGCCAAAATTCATGGATATCTATCAAGAGAGTTTGACAACTTTAAAGGCTCGTTAAGCGCCCCAGACCCAGCTGATCATTACTGCGCGTCTCCGTCACAACCTGCGCTCACAACCGAAAACAGGCCAGCGTCTCGATCGTGTGAAGTATGTTCATTCAGCAAGCCCTTACCGGCTGTCGCCCACAAATCAAAGTGGCCCAGTTTACGCTTCTAGCCTCAGGTGGCCGATATGTATGGGCTTTTGATGTCGCTTAAACATGCTAACGTCCAAACACTTATCCCCGAGACTTGTGCTTGAAATATTTGCCATGAAACTTTCTATCACATTTTACCTTTGACGATGCTTATTTTGTTATTTTGCGATATTCAAGCATGACAGAATACAATGTGAATATGGAATAGGTAACTGATCACAACATAACTATGCTGCCTTTCATTCACGAATCTCCATTCACATTTAAGTGAAGAGGGACTGTACAAACCACCACTCACACCCACCATTTCCTAACTATTTTCAAAACTCGACCCGACGCCGTCAATGACAACATTGCAAACATGTTAACGGTTACGTAACCCACCCTTTCACGCCTCCAAAAGCCCACACAGCTACAAGTAAGATAAATAATATCTGCGTTAAGTTTTTGACACAAGGCTCTCAAAATATTCTCAATACACATAATACAAAATTATTTCAAATGCACGGAAGAAGTGTGCACCGGAGAGAGCTTAGCAGAGAACTTCGAAAAAAAAACATTGGATATTCACTCCGTGATCTTTTACCTGTTCAACGTCAATGATATCGTCATCTTCTGAGCACTCATCCCTCCCGTCAGTTTCATGGAGTTCCATGTCAAAGACCCCGGCACCTGGGAACAATCCACGGTTAGTGACATTTCATCGGAATACTGATATTGAAAAAAATGCATTGCAATTCAGCATGGCCGTCAGCTTTGGGGCTGGACGGCGTCTCATCAACACTGACGCCATTTTCCGGCGGGCTGCAGGCCGTGCTGGTAGTGCTCTGGGCATTTCGCCTTCTCTTGCCTTCCATCTTACCAAATGATGGGTGCCGCCAAAATACCGCCTGACCGACATGACTCCCTCCCCCAACAAACATCTTGGAACTCCGATGGCCAGTTGCATTCGTCGGTTCACCCTAAATAAAAGACACGTACATGTGCGTCACCGGTTAAAGAAGGGGACGCGCGGTACTGACGCCAACTGCGTCACCGGCTCCAGGAATGGACGCGCGGTAGTGACCCCGCCTGACTTTACGTCATCGGCTAAAGAAGGGGAGGCGCGGAACTGACATCACACAGAACACGCCTGTCGACAGGCCGCTCCTGCCGGCCGCGTCATTTGTGATTGCAGCCGGCATAATGTACGTCACATCAATACTTGCCATTACGCAAGCAAGCTTATTGTCACCAGCAGGCCGCACTCCGGGCGTCTGAATTTTAACTACAAGAAAATTGTATATATTCACTGGCCCTGCCACTCAAGCTTTTGAAGAGTATATATGTTTGGAACCACTGGTCGCACCATCACGCCGTGCTCGGAAAACAAAACCTCGCAAATGCCCACGCGTTGCTCTGTGATACCAGCATTTACTTGTAACGGCCAGATCTAGAGCTTGCAACATGTTAGATCTGGCAGGACTTTGCAGCATCGCTGCGGTATTACTACAATTTCACCTCCCCAATCGATGTACAATGGCGACGTATCATTATCACACTTGTGGCAAAGCTGAAGAGAACTGGTCAGATCTCCACCTCCCGGCGGTGCAGCGACACGAGACTACCGTATTTCGGACGGAGGAAAGAACGGACAAGCGGTCAATCGGCAAAAGTGAGGTAAAGGTAGAGGTAGAAGTGAGGGATGATAAATGCAGTCGCCATGCGTTCGCAAGCATTAACCACGGGTCTGCCTTTTTCGGAACGTTTTTAAGAACTGGTGTCAAATGTTGCCAGCCAGAGCAGATGAAGACGTGACACCAGCTGAATTATATTGGCGAATGTACCGTCTACGAAGCATTACGCGACCTCATTACTGCCCGACGCATAAGCGCACCAGTGAAACGCCAGGAAAATGCCAATCTCTCCTTTTTGCAAACACCTGCACAGGCGTAAAGTCGTGCTCATTGTAAGCAAAACTTTTCCAAAAATGCTCGTCACTTTCGCGATGTGCCGGCTGGTCAACAAAGACGCATACCATTCCAGTATCAAATGATTTTGTTGATCACAATTACCTTGTCCTGTAAAGCACAAAGCCAGCATATCTGTAAGCCATCAATTTCACAACATGTGCAAACAAAGGTTCAATAAGCATTGTGTGCAAACACTAAAATATCAGGACACCTCAGCTACTCCAACCAATGCAAAATTGTGTGCAAACATTAAATATTGGTGCAGCATCAGATACCTAAACCCATGCAAAATACACATTCCAGTGCATTCATAAAACCTACTTAAATGGTTTCCAAAGTCACAGGCTCCTTTTGCCTTTTTGGTACCTTTATACCTTACTTTTTGTACCTTTTTATACCTTGGGTACCTTATGTTTTGGTACCTTTTATATGGTGAAAACACTCAGCTCTAGGTCAGCCATCATGTTGATCATTCCATGCTGCAAACAAATAGCATGCCAGTCCTATTGTTGATGTCATCCCAATGCATTACTCATCACATCAAAAGGTTTGTGAGAGCCTTGGTGCAGTGCAACATGTTCTTCTGTGACTGAGTGACATCCCACACAGCCCCAAGAAGTCCATTCACTGCCTTCTGTTCAGAAATCAGGGTGTGCAAAAGACCACAGCACATCATGGAGACTGGATACTTTTGGCATGAACAGGACTCAATTAATAATTCATGGCAAATGGCACAAGGCATGGGAAGTTTTCTCACTACAACCGCCATGAAATGCAAGGCGAGAGTTTGCACAACACTGTAGTAAGAAAGGGCATGCAAAAGTCATGCTTACCAGCATGTAAGTGAGCCTTTTACATGTCGTGAGTTACAGTTCCCAACAGTACAAGCATAACAAAGTGATTGAACAAGCATTCCATTAATTAATTAATCACAAATGATCCCCACAACACTAATTCACTGCTATCATATTAACTAGCAGGCAGGTTTTTGCCTAAGGTTGCCTACAATAGGGACACTTTTAAAGCTTGCTATCAGAGTGTGACCTAGCCATCCATACAATATCAACACTCTGGTTTGAATGTGGAAGAAAATACCCTAGTCTAGCAATGTCTCCAGGATCCTGATGACTGCAAGCAGAGTTGGATCAACACATTATTGGATAATATTGCAGGGAGAGTCATGAACATTACATATAATTATGGCAAGCTTTCTTAAGAAAAACAATGAAATAGTTTCTTGAACATGCTAATATCTATGGCATGGACATAGCCAGTAACCATATACTTGCATTACTCCTGTATGTTTACAAGCATTTGCCTACAATCCCATTCTTGATGCAAGTCAAAAACACCCATTATTTTTGGAATCACAATGAGTGTGCCCTAGATCTCAAGACAGACTGCAATGTTGATCTCTCAGTCCATCACACAGCATATAACATGTAGACTTCACAACACCTGCAACCCTCCCACCCCCCCCCCCCCCAAAAAAAAAACATAAGAGCAGCACTGAAAACAGTTCAGATAAGGAAAAAAGTGTTGCTGAGAAGTGGATCCCAGCAACAGGCTGTATGCCAAGACTGATGTCAGGGATGACTGTTCTATTAAAATGTCTGATTCTCTCATAAACCAAGAAGTTAGCACATGTTGATGCAGTGTAAAACATTTCAAGCATGTTTTGGGTGTACAATTTATAACAATGTTTGTCTTCCTTATGTCAACCATGTGTGTGTAAAGGATTTGGTTCATTTCAAATGGTATTTGAAACAAATTTTTCATTGAAAATTTGTTTCAAATTGCAAGCCACAACATAACAATAACCTGTCAACTCTAGCATGCTATAGCATTGCTAACTCTAAATTCATTTCTGTGCTTAACTCAGCTGAATTCAACAGGACTGGACACCATTTAATATGGCTGCAATTCTGGCATATATTTGTACTGTTGCCCAAAGCATATAGGAAAATAGAGGAAGATTTCTGAAACCTCATAATGTTTTAGCTCAGTGTGCTTACAGTAGAAACCTCATGGTCAGTCCATGCATGTACTTTTGTTAGATATTCCTGTGAGGAGCAAAAACTCAATTACATATTATGCATTTTTTCTATCTATAACTGGCTTGCATTTATCACTGATCATGAGCATTCTGAATAACATTCCCTTCTATGTACAGGGGATACAATTTTTCCTCCTTAAAGAACCAACAAAGTATGCAGGCTCTTCAGGCAAAGCACCATAAATCCCAGGCACATGGATTTGATGGGAGAATATCTTCCAAGGTCAAGCTGCTCCCAAAACAGGGATGATTGTTGCACCCCTTAAGGCAGGGCAAAAGGAATTCCAAGAATCCACATTATCAGTTTGTAGATTCGCCCCCTCTGTCACTACCATCATTAACCATGCTTTCTTCAGCACAGCATGGTAAAGTGAAGCATGCACATATCTGCACACTGCATCTACTACTCATACCAGGGATATAGTTTCTTGTTTAGTTGAGGGTCCTCCCATGCTGCAGCCCCTGCCCCCCTCCCCCCCCCCCCCCACCAACTTTGAGAATAAAGGGCCACATCTGCCAAGGGGGCTATTTGTTGTTATATTCAGGGGAGAATTTTCTCATCTTGTATTCATCATCCTATCCCACTCATTTAGCAAAACTTCACCATTGACTAGCACACAATGCACAATGTTTCAAAATCCATATGGGCAATCACTTCCAACACAACCATTGGCCACTTCATCAAATTTAACATGTTTCTGAACAATGCAACGTGTAATCAATGAGTCCAAAACCTAACTAGAGACATAATTGCATTGTACATGCAACCCTCAAAAGGTGATACATACTCATCTTGAGAACGATGAAGGTGGTTTCCACTTGAAGTTAGTTCTGTGTGAACGATCCAACAAGCGACGGCTCGAAAATCTTTCCAAACGTATTTGGTTGCACACATAAATCCAAATTCTTCTTTCTGCCTTCCCAAACTATGCGCCCCAATTCAATACAAAAAGTGTGACATGCACTTGCGAGCAAGATACTCCCACATCACGTTACGCAAACCGCCACCACGCCACTCCTGTGCACTGGCAACTCAGGGTTCAAGGTATCTGCGCTGGATCTAACCATGTGCTGTCAAACATTTTACAGCTGTTGGAGCGAAAGGATGCTAAATCATGGCACTGAAATATACGACACTTCGGCAGCTCGACTGGCGTGGAAGGGAAAAACACCAGCATTCATATATAGAAAGTCTCATCGCATCCAAATTGCATCTACTTGATACATCACTCACACTTGGTATTTTAAGGCCTTATTTATTCATATTGTGCGTTGTATCTCATAATTTATTCTAGCAGACTTCTGGAGCTTCAGAGCGGATTTTCATGAAACCAGATATCACAGTGCAACTACTAGACGCTATGATGGGACTAAAAGTGGACGCATCTGCGCTCCCGGGTGGCCGGTTAATTGGGACTAGCTCGGATGGGGTGGGACGGGAGGGGGGGGGGGGGGCATTGCCTCCCTCCCATCCTGAGATCTGTAAGCTAAGAAAGATGTAGGCATCCAGTTCACAAGGACCGCGTGTTTCTATGTTAAGCTATTCGTGTCAATTATGAAAGATGTCAGAGAACACATATGTGCTAGCCAGCGAATGTTTGCGTAGTTTGCGGCGAGCGCCGATTAGAGGCGCTCGCGTTTCTCCCTCCAGCTCCAGGCGCCCCGTGCGAGGGACGCGGACTGTGGGGGGCCAAGAGAGGAGGCGGCAACAAGGAGAATATTCTGAAAGCCGCGGCGCGAGGGCGGGCGTGGCGGCGGAGCGGACTGTGACGAGTGCCTGTGACGATTGTCAAGCACAGAGGTGACTTTGGACGTACCGTGTGTACCAGTGAGCTGGAGGGGAGACACCAGAATAGCAGATCTTGCAATTCGAGACCTATTTGTCGTCACGTTCGGGTCAAATAAGGTAAATAGCGCCAAGTCAATATAAAAAGTGTGCCCACTCACCTTCTCCCACAACCAGCTTCACCCTGACAGACTTTTACCGTCTCATTAAACTTTTCTGAGAATACCCCTCTGGCTGTTGGGATTTTTTCCTGTACCACTTCGCTATTCGTTAAGCCTTCCCCTTAGTCCTTTAGTCACACCCTCTGGGTGATTCGATACACCTTCCGGTTAATGTTTTGGTACACAACTAAGCATGTTGTTTTCATCTAACGAAGGCTCCTAAAAAGAAATGGCAGCGTGCCGAACTC